ATGTGATTTTGGCAGAGGAATAGACGCACAGATCAATGGAAAAGAACAGAGAACCCAGAAAATACACCCACACAAGTATGCCCAAGCTGATTTTTGACAAAGGTGCAAAAGCAATTCAATGGAGGAACGATAGTCTTTTTAACAAATGTTGCAGGAGGAAGTAAAATGTAGAGGAAAAAACAAAACAAAACCTCAACCTAAGTCCCATATTATGTGAAAATTAACTCCAACTGCTCATAGACTTAAGTGCAAAATTAAAAATCACAGGAAAAAAATCATTGGGATCTAGAGCTAGGCAAAGTGATCTTAGCTTTGATACCAAAAGCAATCTATAAAAGGAAAATGATAAATATGACTTATCAAAATTTAAACTTTGCTCTGTGAAAGACCTTATTAAGAGAATGGAAAATGATAAATATGACTTATCAAAATTTAAACTTTGCTCTGTGAAAGACCTTATTAAGAGAATGAAAAGACAAGATACAAAGTAGAGAAAATATTTGCAAATCACAAATCCATCAAAGGGCTAGTATCTAGAATACATTGAAAAACTCCCAAAACTCAACAGCAAAAAAAAAAAAAAATCACAAAATTCAACTGAAAGATGGGCAAAAGACATGAAGAAACATTTCACCAAAGAGTCGTACAGATGGCAAATAAGCCCATGAAAAGATGCTCAAACATTAAGGAAATACAAATAAAAACCACAATGAGATATCAAAGACAATAACAGAATGACTGAAATAAAAAGAGTAACACCACCAAATGCTGCCAAGGATGTGGAGAAACTGGATCACTCATACATTGCTAGTAAGAATTAAATGGTACAGCCATTTTGGAAAGTCGTTTGCCAGTTTTAAAAAAACACTAATCTACCATACCACCCAACAATTCTGGGCATTTATCCCAGAGAAATAATGATTTATGTTCACATAAAACCCTCTACATGAACATTTACAGCAGCTTTATTTGTAATGGCCCCAAACTGGAAACAACCAAGATGTTCTTAAATGGATGAATGAGTGATTAAACAAATTGTGGTACATCCTTAACACAGACTACTAGTTAGGAATAAAAAGAAACAAACTACAATACATGTGCCAATCTGAGTGCATCTCCAATGAATTATGCTTAATGAAAAAAGACATTTGCAAGAGGTTACAGTAGTGTATGATTCCACTTATATAACAATTTTGAAATTACAAAACTATAGAAATGAAGAACAAATTAGTGGTTGCCAGGGGGTGGGGTAGCTAGGAAGTGAGTGTGGCTATAGAAGGGCAAGCAGAGATATCCTTGTGGGCTGTCTTCAGTGCATCCATGTCAACATCCCAGTTGTGACTTTAGGGATGGCCTGGCAAGATGTTACCATTGGGAGAAACTGGGTAAAGAGTATCACATGGCCTCTCTGTATTATCTCTTACCAATACGATGATCTCAAAAGGAAAAGTTTAATGAAAAACACAACAAAAGACACTGATGCCTGGGACTCACGCCAGACTAATTACATCAGGGTCTTGGGGCAGGTGTGTAGAGGGAGCTAGTGTAAGACTCTCCGAGGGGCTAATATTCACTCAAGGCTGGGCACTGCTGGTCTAAGGTTCTCAGTGGCACCGTGGGCGCTGTAAGCACATGAGAGGGTAGCTGAGTGCACAGGGTTCCAAGCCCTTCACCCTCCCAGTCTCACTGGAGGAGCTCCTCTTTCCTAAAATTAATTTGAAAAATCGCTGTCCCTGAGGTCTGGGCTCTTAAAACAAAGACATCGTTGGAGCAGAGAAGAGCTTTCCTGGGTGATAGAATGCAAATCTCAGACCATCCTCCACTGGGCAGCTGATGGCTCCCAGCCACATACGCTGGATCAGACAGGCTGGCCTGGGGCCTGACTTTATGGAGAGAGGCCACATTTCAGCACACAGCTGAGTAGAGTTCTTGGCCCCCTGGATTCAGCCTCAGGAGTTATTTCCGACCAACAGAACACCCAGCCAATAAGCCTGCCCTGGGTTCAGTGTGCTGGGCTTGGCCCAAGTGGAGAAATGAGTAGGTACCAGGCTACACACCTGCTGCCTGGGCCAGATGGGGAAGTCCATGGAGGGGGCCAGTGAGACAAAACCAAGTGGCCTGATGAAGCCGGGGAAACCCCCTAACCTCAGTGACGAGAGTTTTTTCTCCTGGGAGACAAGATGGTAATATAGAAACTTCATTTGGAAGAAATTGGGAGTGTGGATTCTGGTTTCAGATAGAAATATAACCAGAATATAAACTCAGTCCTGCCCACACCCTGAACTGCAGTTAGTAAGGCAGTCTGACTCAGTTTGTTTAGGAGACATCTTTACGAGGGGAGACCGCCACACACCACGAGTGAGAGGGAAGGGAAGGACGGCTATCACATTTTGGATAACTGATGATTATCAAAGATTTTGGAGATGATAATGCCAAAAAGAGACAGCACGTGGGGCACGGGAGGACACCTAGCCCTTCCACCCCTGCTCTCGCTAGAGCAGCCAGTGTCCTGACTCCATGTGCCCCTCAGCGAGGCCCTGCACTGGGGGAATGCTGGCTCCTTGGCCTGAAGGGAAATGCTGGGGAAATGTGTTAACATAGCTTGGAATCAAATTCCATGTCCCTCCACCTGAAATCAGTTTCGCCAGTGCTTCTGATGACGAGCATGACAAGTTGGACGGGTGACTTTTCTCAGGCCCTCCCCGGCGGTTGGGAAGCGAGACCTGGGTGAGTGTCCCCCTGGACAGTCCTCCTTATGCTCACCTTCGGCAACTCCACACACGTTGGCATACACATCCAGGATCTTTTTCCTTCGACTTTGAATCTATGAAAATAGTTCAGAGAATGTTAATTTTCAGAAAGGAGGGAATGGTAGAAAACAATGAATCAAGTCTTCCATCTCAGTGTTGGCAGAAAGCTGCTATCCCCTGATTTCCAGCTAGCAATGCTGAATCAAGTCCTCACATGAACATCTTATCCGTAATTCAGAGAGAAAGCCTTCCTCTGGGCTGTGCAACTCGAGCACCCTTCCTGCCCACGGGCGGGTTTCTTAGGCTCACTGGGCATAGACTCACAAGACAACCAGAGGCCACATGTGCACTGGTCTATTTTTAGGATAAATGGCAGGGACCTCAGCTTGCCAGCAGGCAGCCAAGAGATGAGGCCCATAACGGGCAGGTATAGAACTGGCCCTGCTTGAAAGGCCCCAGGCCCCCTCGTAACCACTCCCTAGGCCTCCAGGGTTCAGCAAGTGACAGGCCCCACTGCAGAGGTCACTGAACTGGACAGTTCATGAGGTCTCTGTCAGAACCCAGGCCCGATCCAGTCTCTCAATAGGGACGCTTTTACCAAGGGCAGCACTGCCTAGCAACAGAGCTGCCCTGAGGCTTGGATGCTAGACTCTCAAGCAGCCTAGGGCAGGCAGCCCCACACCCCTCCATGGCACCTTTCAGGTGGCCTGCTTCAGGTGACAAAACATGTGGAGCATTTTTACATGAAAATGTGCATGCTATGTCGATATATGGCTATGTGGTCAGACAGTACACAGCTATTTGTTCTATAGTATATAGCTATGCATTCATATAGTATATAACTATGTATTCATATAGCTATATTATAAATAGTTATATTTAACTATTATATGTGTGGTTGGATATAGGGCAGTGATGGCGAACCTATGACATGTGTGTCAGAGGTGACACGCGAACTCATTTTTTTGGTTGATTTTTCTTTGTTAAATGGCATTTAAATATATAAAATAAATATCAAAAATATAAGTCTTTGTTTTACTATGGTTGCAAATATCAAAAAATTTCTATATGTGACACGGCACCAGAGTTAAGTTAGGGTTTTTCAAAATGCTGACACGCCGAGCTCAAAAGGTTCGCCCACACTGATATAGGGCAATATGTTTACAAAGTTTTTTCTGTCCTATAGCATTCCAAGCAATTTTAACTTTTTGTCTTTGCTTATTTATTTTCTTCTATGAAGCTACATAAGAGAAATAAGTTTTCTATTATTACAATCTTTTGCTTTAAATCTGTCACTCCAGCTGTGTTTGCTAACTTGGGCGGTGGGAGTAACGCCGTGCCCCACAGCAGACTCATTGGAGAAGGGGCTCGTGTCTCCTGGGCGTTACTCAGCCGCACAGTGAATTGCAAGGTGTGCGCATGGACTGCCAGAGCCTCACCCCGGCTGACTTGGGGGTGGTGGCCGCCTTCTCCCTGGCCAGGTGGACCAGCGACAGCAGGCACAGCTCCGGGGAGCCCTGCTTGTCGGTGGCGGGCTCCTCATCACTGTCCATGCTCCGACTCAGCAGCTGCTCGTTCTCAGACGAGGCATCGTTCTCACTGTGGAAACAAGAAGGGGTTTTATTAGTGCTGCCTGGGAAGGTGCCGCCTGGACACGTCCTTCCAGTGATGGGCAGAGCAGGGACAAGTTTCTTAAGCTTTTACTCAGCAGCTCGTGGGCACGAGATGAGAGAGCCACAGGCTGCTCTCTGTTCCTTTCTGGACAAGGAGGGTGGATGCAGGGTGGCCCAGGGTGGATGCAGGGATGCTGGGTGAGGGGGACTCGCAGGGGCCAGTGAGGTAGGGATGGCACCAGCTCATCCTCCACCCCACCCAGCTCATCCCTCCACCCCACCCAGCTCATCCCTCCACCCCACCCAGCTCATCCCTCTGCCCCACCCAGTTTGGGGAAGGGTTCCTGAATATGATATGGCTTTCTATATTTCATCCAGAGAAGCACATGTCTTCATGTAGCAAACAAGGTGATGTGGCGGGCCAGCTCTCTGGGATAACTGAACACAGAGCCCATGCACATACACAGAGCCTGAGCCTGGGGAGCCCCTGGGAGGGGGGCTGGCTGAGATGTGTGCCCATGGGGTGAGCACCACAGCAGCCCAGGGAGGGGCTCTGGGAAATCTTGCAGGAAGGCAGGTGGCTCAGTCACTGCCTAGCCCGCACCCCTAAGCACATGTGGGTTGAAGCTCAAACTCTCAAAATCATTCCAAATATATGAAAACAACATTCTTTTTTTATAGGCATCCTGCTTGTTTCCTGTGGTTTGGCTAAAGAATTATATTTTCTAATAACTGGATTGCAGTCATGAAGCCCACACTCAACATAACCGTGGGGACAGAATGATACAAAGAAAGCAGAAATGGTGAGAGACGCCCACCAGGGTTCCGGCCCCTGGGGGAGCTGGCTGGCCTGCTGCTGGCCCCACTGCGTGCAGGCCAGGTGGGAAGGCACCACTGTCCCCAGACCACTGAGTGGCCTCAGGCCCTTCCCCTAAGACCTGAGAGAAGGCAGAGGGGATGAAAGCTCAGTGACTTGTCTTTTAAAACAATTGCTGAGTGTTAATTTTTATTTAACATTTGTGTATGAAACAAGTAGGGTCCCCAAATATTTCCTTCGTCTTTAGAGGAAACTTAAGTCATAGGATGTGTCCCTGCCCCTTTGAGTGTTCTTCCCCCCATTCCCCTCCTCTTGGGAATGAGAAATGGCTGGAAGGACAGACAGAGAGTGGCTGACACCACATGGGAGTAGACAGAGGAAGGTTGGAGGAGCGACTTGTCTGCAAGAGGCACACTGCAGAGCCCAGTCCCCACCACACAGCTGCCAGCCTGGTTCTCTCCTGGTAACAGCAGCTTGGACCTGGCATACCCTTGCCAGATGTGCACAAAGTTACTCAGACCAAAAATTTGTGAAAAATGACCATTGGCAACAGAGGCACTTATCAGAAATAACCATTTTCTACAGGACTGCCAAGTTGAGCACACACAATTGCTTTTCTTCCCCAGTGTGCAAAGATTTTATGATCTAAGTTTGCTTCCTACCCTTGTGTCAGGATGTTGAGTTTTCTAAATGAGCTAACACGTTGGGTAGTGCTTTATAAACGCCAAAGCTCCATGCAAACATCTTGATTCATTATCATTCCTAAAAAGCAGGGCTCTGCCAGGTTCAAGTCCCCTGGAAAGCTCCCACACTGGGAGTCGGGGAGGAGGGACGGAGCCCCTGCTCCTCTGCAGCCAGCGCGGTGACTCCACATGGCCTCTGCCCGCATCTGCCACAGGGGTGTTTGTGTGGATGGGGTCCTGGGACAGCCAAGGGTGGACTATTAACGTGGCATGGATTTTTGGAACCTAAGGAGGACTAAGTCCAAATGACCTGGCCAGGTGACTCAGATGGATGGAGTGTCATCCCATACACGGAAAAGTCATGGGTTCGGTTCCCAGTCAGGGCACATACCTGGTTGCGGGTTCAATCCCTGGTCAGGGTGCATGTGGGAGGCAACTGATCAATGTTTCTCTCTCTCTAATCAATGGGAATTTATCCTTGGGTTAGGATTAAAAAAAAGTTTACTTCCCTTCACCCTTGATGTTAAAGCTGGGGCTGATTCCACATCCCAAAGTGTGTGTGGCAAATATGGTAAAGACTTCATGCGTCCAATCTCTTCCTTAAGGGGCCTTATTTTACTAAGTGTTAGTGCTTGGGCCAGAGCCTGTGGAACACACACTGCAGCCAGATGGCCTGGGCTTGGCCCCCAGCCCTGCCACTCCCTAGGTATGTGACTGTAGGCCCATGACAGCTTCCTACAAATGTGCACAATGTTAGCACCCTGCTCATAGGGCTTATGAAGGTAGCACATGCACACTGGAGGGTAACCTGCACCAGGTGTTTGGTAGCCGTCTCCATCACCGCTGCTGCAGTATCATGGGGACATCAGTCCTGGTGTCAGCACTGTGCTGTCAGCATGCGCACTGCCAGCAGCAACTAACTGTCATATTAACCAGGCAGCTGTGGGGTCTGCACGAGGCGGGTGCATGTTGCAGAGAAGGGCCTGGGGCATCTGGCCCTGGAAGATGGCAGGGGTTCACCACCTGCCCCTAATACCCCCTGGCCCTGCTGCAGGCCAACAGTGAGGCTGAGACCCTGGGCTGACTAGGACTGCACTGCTGGCTGGCTGCTGGTTGCTTCCTCTGGAGCTGTCCCCAGCACAACCTCCAGCCAGCTGCCAGGTTTCTCAGAGCACTTCTCCCCTGGCATGGCCAGCTGCCCTTCCTACTCAGGACCCCAAGGACTCCTCACTTCAGCCTGGAACTGGGGGATGCTTTGGTTTGACATACCTCTTGGCAGTCTTTGCTGGAGCTGCTGTCAGTTTCTCAAATTCATCCTTTTCAGAGAAAATCACCACACTGTCTGTGGGTAAACAGAAAGATTGGGGGAGGGAGGAGTTAGTGTCAGCTCCAGCTCTGAGCTTGTCCTTCTGCTGCTTACTTCCTCTTTAGCAGACCTGCTTGGTGACTAAATCACAATGCCCTGAGGATTAAGCACCACGTGGCTGCACTGACACCCCTTCCCAGGACCCCTGTGCTAAGTGGCAAAGAGCCTAGCCAGTCAGAAGGCCAGGCTGCTGGGGTAGTGACAAGAGGGTCAGACAATCTCCACCCTGAAGACAGACTCCCATGCTTGTGGGGACTCTGTTTGCAGACCTTGGGCCTCTTTCTTCTCTCCTTCCTGGCTCACTTGGGCTTCCACACTCTTCACTGAGTGGCTGGTGCAGCAGGCTAGTTAGAGAAAGAGAAGGGTGTGAGCAGCTGGGCTCATCGACTGATAAGGTGATGGAGCTGCTCAGGGGAGAGGGAATATGAGGCAGGCATTGGGGAACAGTCACCTGGGGAAGAAGGCTTCGTCTTCATGATGTAGAACATGATGATGAGGACAATGGCGATGGCCATGATAAAGATGGTGGACATGGCAATGATCAGAGCCGCAGCCAGGTGTCCTTGGCCTGAGAGCTCTGCTGAAGTTGGGGAGAGAAGGCAATGCCTTAGGACTCAAGTGTCCCTACAGGAACCCACCCACCAGGCAGGGCCCTTTCTCCTTAAGACCACGCCCTGTGAACAATGGCCCTGCTACTGGGACACTTCCTGGAACCTTCAGATTCTGAAATGCTTGCTTAGTCTGAGAACCCAGCCCCACAAGTTCCTTTGGCCATCCCATCCCGCAGTGCCATGGCTTGTGTTTGCTCAGTTGTCCCTGGGGTGCCTGCCCTTGGTTCGATTGCTTTGGGAAGCCGGCATGCGTGCCGAGTGCACTGTGGGAATCTGAAGGCCACCCTGCCTCTCTGAGGACCGGGCCATAAATATGCTTAAACCACAGATGGCATTGAGACAGTAAAAGAGGGGATGAGGAGCCAGTGTGAGGTCTTGCTCTGAGAGAAACTGTTGACCTTGGGGGTCCTCCCCCATCCTTCCACCCCAGAGGGACTGGGGAGTGAAACGTAGTTATTGGAAATAGATATTCAAGTGTTGAGATCAGCAGGTTCAGATGAAAGCCTGCAACAGAATTGTGACATCAGGGCCACCACAGCCCAGGAAGCTGGCTCCTCTCCACCCTCGTCCTGAGCAGCATTGCCAACACCCAAGGAGTGAGCAGCTCCCCTCCTCCCAGAGATATTTCTAATTTCTAGCAGCTGGGGGCATTGACTGTGATTAAACCACAGGAGGGAGGTGATTTGAAGTGGAGAAGAGCTTCATGGTCATTTCTATAATTATTTCCTCTCTTCCTCTCCAGCCACCCACTCCCCCAACTTACGTCTAGGTGGTTAGCTCCAGAAGACCAGTACCTGGGCACCTGCCTACCTTTATGGGCGCGATGGAAAGGAGAGAGGGTGCTGCTGCCCGCGGTGCTGGGGAAGTGGGCAGAAACCTCCACGGTGGCTCCCGCACCTGCAAGGAGAACAGTCGCTGTGGGCTCCTCAGAGTGACCTGCAGAAGCTCCACCACCAGCACTGAAACACAAGGTGCAGCCACAGAGCTATTGGTTCACAGTCCCAAGTTATAAAGGGCTGGAGGGGCCACATAACACCTGCCATCCAAGTTATCCAATAAGACATGCCCATTATTTAAAAATCTAGAAAAAAATCAAAACGCAAGAAAGAAGTAAAAGAATCACCTACAGCCTCTGTCTAACATTGACATTTGGTGTATTTTTCTTCAGGATTTTTGCATAATACGTTTTTAAATAGTTGTGACAAAACTGTTTAAGAGTAGGCATGAGCTTGGTCTTCTCTCAAAACTGTGATTCATAAAACTCCCATTCTTTGTAAAAAAGTGGCACTTAGCAGAAGTAATGTGGAAGCTGATTTTGTGATCAGACAAATCACTAAGTTGTTCAGTTAAAACAAACAAAATGTTCTACCACAGAAACGATGACATCCTGACAGTCAACCTTCCTTTAGGCCAGCTTGAGTTCTGCAGTTAATAAAAATGATCATGTTTCAAAGAAGAAACCAAGATGGCGGCATAGATAAACACCGGAAATTGCTGCCTCTCACAACCACTTCAAAAATACAACTAAACGTCAAAACGGACATCATCCAGAACCACAGGAAGGCTGGCTGAGTGGAAATTCTACAACTAGAAGGAAAGAGAAAAGCACACTGAGACTCAGAGGAGGTGCGGAAGTAAAGTGCAGAAGTCCGGAGGCACGCAGAAAGGGCTGGCAACTGAGGACGCCGCGCATGTGGAAAGGGCTGGCAACTGAGGACACGGTTGTTTTTTTCAATCAGGAGGGAGTCTCAAGCTACCGACTGCTCTGAACTCCAGTTCCGGGCGAGTCTCTGGGGACCCAGACTCATACGGGGAGAAACTGGACTGTCTGGCATCGGTCGGAACTCGAGGCCGGCTTTCTCTCAGAGGTACTTGCAGCGATTACCGGGACACTGAGACTCGGGGTCTCTTTGGGTAGGACTGAGGAGCAGTCATAGCTGCTTGCTCCACCCTGTTGATTCCCTGAGACCCCGCCCCACCCAAGCTGTGCGCAGAGGCTTTTGCATATGAAAGGCCTGGCCCTTTGCAATCTGAAAATTACCTAACAAACTGCAGCTGGGTCAGAGAGACCCAGAACTTCCAAAAGAAGGCCCAAGGCCCCACAGCAGCTTGCATTGCTTCACAGCTGGGCCTCATCTGGGCACCTCCAAACCCCAAACAAAGAAGAGGAATCTGCAGATCTCTCCATAGCTCCTGCTGGGTAGCCTCAGGCAGAGGCTAAATTAGCACCTCCTTAGAGATCCAAGAGCCAATGTACCCAGTGGTCAGAGTGGGACCATCCAGATTACAACTCCTCAGATCCATAAGGGACACACTAAGGGAGCAGACTCAGTGAGCACCAAAGCTCCACTGAAGCAAGTCTTGCCCCA